AAACTCTCTGGGAACTTTCACTGTGACACAGAGCCTGTATGTTTTGTTACCTGGATTTTTGCTACCAGGAGCACCCTGGGTATGAGACCAGCAAGGTATAGGGAGCTGAGTAAACCACAAGGCAGCACAGAAGCCTAGGAGTTGAACCTCTGTGCATCACTGACCTGAGGCCACGTCCCAAAATCCATAAGGGCTCACAAGTTCCAAGCAACAGAATACCCTGATATTAACCAAAGCAGGCGTGTGAAAAACTCATGAGGATAAAGCAATGGTGTTTCCAATATAGTGATGTAAAAACACCTTAAAATCTAGAGGTGAAAAGTGCTAAGATCAACCCAATCAGGAGGAAAACTTACTCTCAACAGATTTCTTGAGATGAGTCAGGATATCCAAATAACCTCAGCTAGTGGGCTAAAATGAAAGATTCCTCTGGAGTTTTTTTGTTTAGGTCCAACTGCTAACAACCTGTCATATTTTTCTAAAATGATGGCTCACTGAGGCAACACCTAGTACCTTCAATCTATTTACATTGTACTATGGAATAATATCCTGGGGTGTTGTATTAACAGGTTTTTTTTTTTAATGGAGTCTAATCATTTTTTTCTAAAAGTTTTTTATGCAGCGAAGCAAAACGACAGATGAAAACTGCTATGCAAAAGGCTTGTTCAATTATTGAATTCTCCTATAGAATAGAATAGAATAGAATAGAATAGATGGGTCAGATTCAGACGTAGTGAAAGGAGATATATCAACACTGATTTCAATGGAGAGATAGAGACTCCCAACTGGCTTGACTTTGGCCCAAGCAGTGGTAGTAAGATCAGCTGAATGATATTTTGCTAACTCCACCCTGGACTAATAATCTGGGCATAATGTGCCAGATCCTGCTATCCTTCCTTACTTCTAGTAGCTCTTCAGTAGCTCCTCTAAAACTGTTCGTGCAGCAGATGGCAGGCAGAATCTGTCCCTGTGAGGATAACAATAGGTCCAATCCACAGAAACATTTAAACACATAATTAACTTTGAGCATGTCAGTAGTTTCACTGAAATCAATGGGGCTATTTGCCTCCTTTAAATTAAGCACATGCATAAATGTATTGCTGGAGAGGGGCCCATAAGATAATATTGTACACTAAGCTTCAATTTAATATTTTTTTTGTTTTGTTTGGCAGTAGACACACGTTTAGGCAAGATCCTGTTATCAGGGATCAGACCATGGTTTCAGTGCAATTTGGACAAAGATCTGCAATTTTTTCTTCTCATTCTGACACTGTTTTGAGCAACTTTGTGCTGTAGTTGGACAAAAATCCTACAGACGTGTGCAGGCAGCCCTCGATTACAAATGTGACCGGGAGGCTGTTTTAGATCAAGCATTGTGTGGAAAAGAAAAGGATGTACAAAGAGCTTTTAGCAAAATTGTTAAGGCTTCAATCCTACAAAAGTGAAATTAACATAAAACTAAAATCGAGGCATTTATTTACATCAGAAAGTTAGCTGAGCCACACACACAGAAAGGGAAGGCTGACCATTGTGGTTCAAGGCAAAGTGTTACATTTTGCCCAGGGTCAGTCTAGGAAAGAGAATTTGTACGAAGGGCAATGAAAGATCACAAAACCAATTCAACAGTCGTCTTTTTTTGCTGTAGAAGTCAGCCCTGTTACTCAAAGTGAACATGCTCATGCAGTGTCTCTCTCTCTCTCTCTGCCTCACTAACAGGAAACTTTAACCTGATCGTGTGCCGTTGCTTTTTTTTTTCCTTCCCCAACTAGGGAATTTTCACAAAACAATGCTGGGTGTCAGGCATTGTTAGAAAGCCAACGCACGGCTTAGCAGAATAAAAACCCACTCTTTGGGATTGAGTGAGTTAAGGTCCCTTGGCAGCTTTCTTTACCCTCTTCGAACTTTTTATTCTTCTTCCTCTGTTTCCTGCTAAGGATGCAGCATGTGGTCTTCATCAGACCTGGCCTCAGGTCCTTACCACTGCAGTGACCCTTCTTTGTCATTCCTTTGCATTTTTAATTGTGCTGATTTCTCTCCCCCCAGCTCCCTCCCCACACACACTTCCACCCACCCCCCCCCATCAACACCACCCCTTTCAGAAGTCGAGGTGGGGGAGGGAGTTTCTCTCTAGGTTGTTGTTTTTCCCAGGGCTTCCCCGGCAACAACTCAAACATGGTCTCAGCCAATCAGAAAGGTTTTCAAAGGTCAGGTTGAATCAGGAAAGGAGGGGGTGGGGCTCATGCATTGTGCTCTATGGCAGGTGACCACTATATGAGAACAAAGAGTGGGTCAGGGCTGGAGCCAGATCCCTTTTCTCAGGCCCATGTTCTCCACTCCTCACAATCTGTCTAAATTTAACTTGCCATTGAGGGCCTCGGCTGCAGAAAACAGCTTTATGTCGACTAATCCAGGCAGAAGTAAGGGTAGACACAGAGACAGGTTTGAAGGCGGAGACAGTGCTATTCTGCCTCTTTTTTTTAACTCTGCCCCTCTGCCTCCAGTGAAAAGTTTTCTGAACAAAAAAAAAAAAAAAAAAAATTGGGGACAAGATTAATCAGCCCGTGGAGCTGAAACA